TATAATATACTGAGTTATACTGAGTTAAATCGGAAAGGAAAAATTAGATTATTATAAATCCGGATTTCCTGATTGCTAGATAGATGTGCTTCCAGTTACAGCCCGAAGGTACGTAGTAAGAAGGGAGAAACTCCTTACATTCTTCCCCATTTAAAGGAAAACTGGGAAGGCGGGCACCCAATTCACAAATCTTGGTCTTGAGGAATTATTGCCCGCTGCATTATTGGCCCTCTGCAGAGTCATTAGTTTTATTTCGGAGCAGGAAATATGAGAAATAAGAGATGCCTTCTATTGAATTCGAATTCCGGACCTCCGGACTGCTAGTTGGACGCATTTCCATTTGAACCACGAATTTAAGCAATAAGAAGGGAAAAAATACCTCGCAATCTCCTGATAAATGATGACAATGTTAAGCTATCATTTTTAAAGTAAGCACTCTTTTTCCTCAAATTCTTTTTTTTTTAATCTCTTTCCTTACCTTAACGCCTTTAAAAAATTAAGAAAACAAATCTATTTTTCGATGGAAGGAAAGGCTTCTCGAAAAATTTGTGCTAACACCTTAAGTGGGAAGTACTTTCTTAAATGAGAACTTCTTAAATGAGTTTTACTGTATATGCATGTTTCTAAGATTTGCATCGTAAATATGAAATTTTAGGACTGCGTGTACTAAAAATGAGGTTTACACCGTTTTACAAATCTAAGGCCTTCATATCCAAATGTCAAACCTATAAATAGTTCATTTTTCTCTTTGCGCATATTCTCTTTCAAACCTTCTACCGGTATTCTGTACAATCTCTTATGAGCTTTGTTTCTAATTAGATAATCTGCATTACACCTGCTTAAGTCATTTCGTTTATAAGCGCGAATTCCATTACTTCAGGCCCTAAACTATTTTCATATTCCCATTCGTCCAGGCATAGAACTCAGGGACGTTATTGAATGAGGAGCTCATTTATCTGGATTATTTCACATGCTTCCTCGAAGAATAAAAGCTTTCATCTACTAACTATAAATTTCGGCAAATTCTTCTCGAATTCCATGCATTTTTGATTACTTCTACCGGGTAAATTAAATTTATGTTTCTTCTGAAGCTGCGATTCTATTTCTGTGATTAAAGTAATTTGTTATATTTCGGAAGTAATAAGGTTGGGCAGTGAGGTGATATATGTACGTTTTGGCGAGAAGATAGAATTTCATGAAACGTTATTAGTTGCTGATAGCACTTCCGCTAATTGAAATTGGAAATTTATTTCTTAATCTTGAAAGTGAAAATGCATTTTTCCATTACATGATGAAAATGAAATGCTTCTTTTTTTAGAATCTCTCAGAATTTTAGACTGATTTTATTTTCTGACTTAATCTTGTGGTAATTTTTGCTAGTGCATTTTCAACTTTAATGGTTAAAATATTTTAATTAATCTAAAAACGATTTCTTTGAAAATTTTATTTAAAACTTTTATGCACATTTAGTTATAATTTCTAAGTTAAATTGCCTTTCTATATTGATATGAAACTTCTTTAGCATTTGGTTTGAATTAAAGACCAAAACGTTTTGAGCAACGAACGCTTGAGATACTTTTGTCTCAGAAATAGTTTACTTTTCAATTGTTTTCTCCATTTTTTAAGTAAAATATCCACTGGCTGCAAATATATGTAAGGTTTTGTCAACGACTGACAAAGGATATTATGAGGGTGGATCCAAAAAGAAAAGGTTACAATGGAAATAAAAAATTATTTATTACACTATAGGCAGAAAATAGAAAAGGGAATTAAAAGGCATACTAGCTATCATTTTTACCCGTAATCACCACGTCTAATTTAAGCATTTATCCGAGCTCAGGACGAACGTGTTTAACACGGCTTAGTAGAAATCACGTCCCTGCCCATTCAGCCAATTTTCGGTGGCTATTTTCACATCACTGTATGAAGAGAATCTCATTCTAGATAAATGTTCCTTCAATTTCGGAAAGAAGTAATAATCACTAAGTGCTAAACGTGTGCTATATTGGGGGGGGGTGACTCCAGACTTCCCACTTAAACTTTTGCAGCTTTTCATGAGTTTGGTGAGCAGTATGGGGGCCATTGCAGGAGGATGACACCATCATTCAACATGCCAGTTGCGTGGCATGGCTTCACGTAACCTTCACGTAACGATCGACAGTGACGTTATGGCCACGCTACAGATACTCGATCGGGACAACGAATCATAGCTTGCACTTCCAAGCGAGACCACTTTTCTAAACGTCTTGCAATTTCAATAGCTCTGACGAGTCTGCGAACTTACTGTATCTACTCGCGCAACCGCTGCTAGACAACTAGTGTCATCTGCTTATACTCAAGGGATTATGGATCCTTTCCACAATAATTCCTTTTCAAATTCTGATGCTTGTAACTTTTTTGGAGTGGATCCACCTATGTACTACATCTGTTGATGCCGTCAAGTGACTTACATAGTCGAAGAATATTTCTTTCAGTTATCATTATTCTAAAGTATAAAAGTCCAAAACCAACTGACAGTGATAAAAAATGCTTTAAAATCGATCAGTTGACCATAAAAACAGAAGATCCTCACTACATATTACATTAGACGATTTTTAAGATTAATACGAGGTAAATGTTTCTTTAAAATATTTTTCTTGCTACACACGGTAATATGAAAATAATAAAATTTCGGGATAAAAGATAAATTTTTTATTGTAAAAATATATTCATAAAATAAGTACAAAAATATTAAACAACAACTAAATTTTGTAAGATTGAAATATAAAACCACTTTTTAAGATTAATTTTTGAGATAAAAATATTTGATGTGTCCATCTTTGAGAGAGGTTTTGGTTTTGAAGTATTGATTTTGAATTGACTCTTTGGTTTTGAATCAATTCTGGTACTGAAAGTACTAAATTTCGCATTTATATGTCACTCCGAGATTTCTCTATAGTATTCAGAACTTATATATTTATATCTTCAATGATTTCTATGTTACATTCTTGTTAATCATTGTGTAACAGTCTAAGATTTTATGACAGATTACAATATAATATTGAAACACAAAGGTCTCGTTGACGAGCTCTTCTTCAACTGTCGGATATAAAACATTACTCTACAACTTTACTGTTACATCTTACAGAGTTCAAACGAAATTTATCAGCCTTATATATGGCAGGCAATTTTGATTCATTAATAGGGTACCCACGAAAACACTCCTTCATTTGAAGTGAGTATACAGTGAAATTTTATTATAATATTCTTTTACTTTTGTTGGATGCAGCTTCATTAGCTCATCAAGTTTCATGTGGTATGTTCTTTTTTCCCTAATGGCGGGCACTTGCCTATGCCGGCATCGGCCACTCCTAAGGCCAGACGAGGTAGTCTCTTTATTATGGAGGCACCTAATAGGTGATGTGGTATGTCCATTAATTGCAGAATTGAAGACTCTTTGCATTGTTGCCTGGTTTTTATCTTCTGCATCAGCTGCAGGTTTTAAAGATAGAAGTGTAAGCGATTGTTTAATATTTTAATGTTTGTACATTTTTTAATTTATAAATATCTGCTATCTCTGCCCTTTGACTTTTTCGGGCTGACGCGACCAACAACAGGATTAAGTTTGGTGTCTCTTTCTCTAGTCACAGATGCATCCCTTCTCAAGAAAACTGTTATACCACATCAAAACTGACTTCTGTCTATGTGGGTTCACATTAAATTTGTGCTTGAAAGCATGCTAAAGCAACAAGGCACTTTCTGTTCAATAAAATTCTAACATACACCAGTTGCGTTGTTGACGCATGAGTGCCATTTTTGAATTTGATTCCACTGCCTCCCAAGGAGCCTTCAAATTAAAAAACATGTTATAATTCATCCACCCTGCTAATTACCATAGAATACGCTTATTAATATAGAATATGATGAATATGATGCAGTTATTATGAACTTTTCCCTTAGCGTCCTCCACCCTTAGTGTCATGATCCTGTGTTATATGCGAATTATGTCTTAAAAAATTATCTTTCTTCGTATAATTTCCTCTCACTTCTTACATTTTATCCCTTTCAAAACATTTTATGTCTGCTTAGGAAGTATAAGTTGCGGCTTAGTAATATAATATATAATTCACTTCATTGCAAACATGCATTTGCTCTTGAAGATGCCTTCACTCCTACAATGTTTGAGCATGCGGAAATGTTGAAGTCTGATTACACTTTGTTAAGTGTTACTGTTTTAGTAGCTATGAGCTATATAAATCTTTCAGCTAGACTTAATTGCTTTAATTTGCATCTATTTTACATCAGATTAAGAATTATCAAGTGCATCCTCTTTGTAATTCTGGACAAACGATGAACAATGAACATTTAAGCATGTGCACTTAAAGTTTTTAATTTTGTTAATCAGCAGTATTGAGAGACAAAATCGTAATACTAAACGTTAGTTTGAAGATAATAATATTATCATCCAAGTAGCAAATAAAGCACGAAATCTCTAAAATATTTCTCTTAAATTCTTTGAAAAAGTTAAAATCATTTCGGATATTTTATTTATTGGTTGCAGATACAGGCAGTGCTGTGTGATTCTCTTTTGTCAGAGCAATTTTGCGCTGTACGTATAACTTTTCTCACTTATCTAATGATTAGGTGTTGCCCAATATACACAGGGCACGTGTTGCGTCATGAATGATCTATTTCATTTGGGGCCGCCCAGACGGTATATTAATTAGCGGAGCCGACTGCGATACCAAAGGGCCCAGGTTGAAATCCCGCAAAAAGCATGGTTGTAGCTGTCCGTCCCTTCGTAGGAGCAAAGGTGGTCCACCTATTAGGTGCCTTCGTAATAAAGTGACCACTACTTCTGGCCTTAGTAGTAGCCAGCGTCTATGATGACTTGTGCCCGCCAATGGAAAAGCAAAAAGTGTTTCGTTGTGGATTTTTTTCTCTTACCATTTGTGTGTATATAGTTGTTTATAATATTAGTCTGACTTAAAGATTATAAAATTCTCTTTCTTCTATTGCAGCTATTCATGATCGATAATTGTGCCGACGACTGGAGGATTGCGATGACACCTCAAAGGATCTCACTCATCTTCCTAGAGTTGGCTGTCTGCGCCGTCCATCCCATTCCTGGGGAATATTATTTCACGTGGACCACTAAGCTGGCAAACCAGAACGGCATCGTCGAGTCACGTAAGGTGCCCATTGACGTAACTCTGTCCTTGCCCATGTTCCTACGCCTGTACCTCATCTGCAGGGTGATGCTCCTGCATAGCAAACTCTTCACCGATGCGTCATCCAGGAGCATCGGCGCTCTGAACAGAATAAATTTCAACACGAGGTTCGTCCTCAAGACTCTCATGACCATTTGTCCAGGAACCGTGCTCTTGGTCTTTATGGTCTCACTTTGGATTATTGCATCTTGGACGCTCAGGCTATGTGAACGGTAATGATTTTACCTTTTCTTCTTAAAAATATCTGTAACCTCTAAGGAAAATTCATTTATTAGCTTTTGCTTCTTCTTGAATTCTCGTACATGCATTCACGTTAATGTAATTCGTTATATCGTTTATGAAAAAAATAGTAGCTTGCTCTTGTATAATACTTTGCATTTTCTTATCGTAATTAATTTATGCTCTCAAAAGAGTGAACCTTTTTATATAATATGCCTGTTCATGTATATTATCAGCAGATGCTAATATGAAGTTAATATATTTATTTTTTTCAGCAAACATAATTTAAAATGATGATTAATAAGTTTTTTCTGCATTTTATTTATTTCGTAATTCGTGTTTCTGAAAATGAGCATTTCATGTAAAAGTTACGTTTCGTCAGTACGACGTAAGTACATCTTAAATTTCTTCGTTTGTATTATTAATTAGATTTTGAAGGTAAGTTTGCTTCTCAGTTTTTTTTTAATCAGTTCAGCATTTCTAAACATACGGCTGTGCAAAATGGGGTATGTACAATTTTTAATATTCAATACTGTACTTTCAGTCTGTGGCATAACATGAATAGCTGCAGCATACTTTCTAACTTCAGAGTGTGAAAGAAAATTGTTCATTTTCCAGATACTGGATTAAGTATAAATACAGTGTTCAGTGTTAAATTTTTAGCGCTTTTATCAAAAATGTTAAAAGTTTCCTTTTTAAAATTATTGCTTTTATTTGTTTCTATTTCAGAAGAAGAAGCAGGTATTCTTCAATGCTTCTAATTATTAAATAATTATAATAATTTATCATACGTTCTTACTGTTACTTTTGCGTATTACTCTATATTGTTATATCTATAATAATGTTTTAAGGATAAATTCTTGGTAATGTGGAGAAATTTTTGCTAACCCACAAGAAAGACTTTGCATTTATATATTACTTGCAACAGCTGTCAACTCAAATATCTTTTAGTTGCATTTTCCTCTATCAAATTAATTACTTTTGTGATTCTGAGGAATAAGTATTAATTTTAAATAATAAAACTTGGAAGGTCAAAACAGCTTTGAGCTCAGCAAGAAATAAAGTCTTACTTCACTTCAGCTTCTTACTTCACTTCAGCCTAAAAAAATGCAAATTTTGTTTTTATCTGCAATAATAAAATAATCCAACTTTTTGAAATATTCATTTCTGAATAAGATATTTTCTTGAGCCCCTCCATTACTTTTTGTTATAAATAAATAAATTAAAAATGCAAATCTTCTTCCCTTCCCTAAGAAAAGAAATGGAAAAAGTAAATAAGCTGTTTCTCTCAAATGTGTGGCTAGTTTAGATAAAATGTAAAAATTAATAATACACGTATTAGTGGATAACAGCAATCAACTGCCAAGTAGTAACCGGAATAAAAATAGCAAATATTTCCTAATTTTGTTACTCTGATCGCAAATATCTCAGTTTAAATTGTTCATTAATTCAGTTTTCGAAAACAATCATTGGAACGTAGGTAATCAAAGACAAATGCTGCACCGAAAGATTTTTCCCTATTATTAATGTAATAATTAATTATGAATAAGGCAAATGTGTCTTATACTGTCATTTTTACGTATTACCTAATTTTATAATAAACATATCTTACAACATGTCAAAATGTTTAATATGAACTACCTAAACGCATTTGATAAAGTGGCATTTAGATATGGCACCAAAGTTAAGCCCTAAAATGTTATTAATTTAATTTAATTGATCAACGAAACTTTAATTTAAGAACTATAAATAATCCTGTCATAATCATCATAAGCGCCTTAACGAAATATATTTAGCATCAAGGGTACAGGAAATGATTCAAAATTTATATTTTTTATGTAATGTGTCAATAAATCCCTGAAACTCCGTGGTACCCTTGGGATAAATGCGTCTGAAATATCCGCCTATTATAGCCTATTCTGTGTTTTATAATAAAGAAACTGAATATTAAGTACTTGTGATAAAATATAACAGATAAAATATAACATTTTAGGGCTTAACTTTGGTGCCATATCTAAATGCCACTTTGTCAAATGCCTTTAGGTAGTTCATTTTTACACAAACTTGAATGCAGAAGCAACATTTACATAATGCATTGAGCACGTAGTTTTTGTATGTATGCCTTTTCCTGAACTAATATAATTTGAACAGGAGAGTTTTTAAGTCTTTTAAACACGTATTTACTTCTCAAATAAGAGCTAATTACTGTCCAAACAGGGCGAAAAATTTACTTCGGTTTATAAAGTTAGATTTTTTTTAAATTTCTTTAAATGTAAAATGAAGTGATGACACACTATAATTAGGGGATGTTTTATGCAGTTTTCCTTGCTATTTAAGCTAGCATTTATACATCTAAAGGTCTAATCCTATCATAAGTTATCAAGTTGATAACATAACGATATATAATAATAAATAAAACTTTACAAGATGCACAAATAAAACATAAATTTTATATTGACTGCAGTTTCTTTGGAACTTCCCGCAACTTTATCCAAGAGAACTCAAATCAATTTTATAAAATATAATACTTGCAATGGAAGATTTAGTACTTAGTGCGGAAACCGAAGTGCTCAACTGGAAGAAAAGAAGTGGGGCTGGAAAAGGTTTTATCCAAGCCCCTCTTCCAAGAACAGATTCATTTCGCAAGGTAGTTAGTTGCCTAAGAAGTAAAATTTACGAAACTTTAAGAGAGTTAAGACAGTGAATGTAATAGTAAATTTACCTCACGACTGGGGAGATGCATGTTGTATATTTTATCTTCATTGCACGCAATGAAAATCTGTCTCTCCCTTTAACGAAACATACATTAATCTAGAGATGACTATACCCGCAATTTTTATTTTAAATCAGTTCATAAGAAATCAATTCAACAAGCAATTCAAGTAAAATTATAAATAAAACTTAACTCACTAGCAAGAATGTTAGTGAACTTGCAGCTCACTAACAAGAATGAGAATTTTCCATGAACGTATTTAATTTCTAATACGATTTACATTCAGACTACTATAATATTGTTAGTAATTTTCCTATTGAAAATAATTGTATCTTCTTGGTTACTGAAATATTTAATAGAAATCTGCTTTTCTCATATGAATAATAATAAATAACCGTAATGATTAGAATATTATATAATAAATCAACAATAGTTTTTCATATAATGAAATTTTTTATTTAGAAGCTCCAAAATGAAAGAATGCCGACTAATAAAAATTAATTTTCGTTACATGTCCTTCTTTTGAGGCATTCTGAATTGCAAGGAACATTTTTCAGTAGCTAACATATTTAGATAATTTAGTTTAGTTGTGGATTTTTTCTCTCTTTTTGCATATATGCCTATTGAAAAACCCTCCGACACTAAAAATTAGGCCACTTGACCAGGAATTAATTTCTTTATTTATTTATTTTGATTTCCAATACTTCAATGAACTTTTACTTGTAAAGACCGAATCACCTGATTTAACATAATTCATTTGTATGTGAAATTCTCTAGTACCTAAGTATTACAGCCTACCAACGGCCGATCGATAAAGTCAGTGAACACAGGTAGTTTGGTATGGGGTTAGAATCCCTGCTAATGTTTTCGTAGTTGCTGCATGGGCGTTGCATGTGTAACGCAGACGCGAGCCAGTTTTCTTTAGAAATTCCACCACGAAGGCATCCTTCCCCTTAGACAGATAGTTCTCAAGAGCTTTGCCGTAATCAAATAAACCAAACTAAACCAAACCTAACTACTATCTGTTGTTATCGAATCTTCTATTAATTTTCAGAGTAATACCTTGGAATGAAACGTTTGATACATTTCAGGAATTTCTAGCACAGGATGAAGAATGCGTTTTACCTCATGTAATAGATATCTTTTGACCTTGTTCAATCATGAAATATTTCAAGAACTTATAATCGAATATTAGGAGAACTATCTTCAGCAGTATAGTTCCTTATTTGAAAATGTGAACTATTATTGTTACTTTAACAATCAATTCGACTGGTACAATTACTTGCTTTTACCCATGTATTATTAAGACATTAGTGACAAAAAAAAAAGGACCCGAAGTAACGAATGTATAGAGAAATTTCATATTTAAGTAATAAATGTGCTATTTTTAATGTAACATTCCAGTGTATTTGAAAATTTACTGTCACCCACATCCATAAAATTTCCGTAAAGAAAAGAAACAGGTAACTCTTCTCTTTTTTGTATCTCCTTTTTGTCAATTTATTGAAGACCTTAGGAATTTAGTAAAAACCTAAAGTAACGAATATGTGTGTGTATATATATATATATATATATATATATATATATACATGCAACTAAACTACAATTCTATTAGTTTTCACTACAAGTTTTTCCAGCGGCGAAAATCATCTTAATAATTTAAAAGCTCAAACTCCGCAATGTAATTGAAAGTATAGAGGGCTTTTTAATTAAAAATGAGTAGTATTTCCTTTATAATTGGACTGAAAATAAAGAATTTAAAAACGAATTTTGAACTTTATTCTTAGCTTTAAGTATTAAAAAATATTGTCGAACATAATAACCACCGGAATGAGCAATTTACATATTTTATTAAATGGGTTCTTCCTTCCGTTATTCGAAAGCAATAAGCTTAATTCAACATGGCTGCAACTGCATTAATTCCGAAAAACTAGATTCTTCTATATTAGTCAATTTCCTTATAAGAATATTTTCACGAAAACTATCATCGCAAAGACAAATCAACTTCATGTTTCCGCAATAAGTGTAATTTAGTAAAACAATTTCTTTTAGGTACAATTATTAGAAATTTCTCAGTCCCTAAACTATCCGTAATATGAAAATTTAGTATAAAAGCATCTATGCGAATCCATCTTATTTATCGTTTCTGTCAGCATTTACTAACTCTTATCAATTAACGTTTTTTTTTTTTTTTTTTTTTTAAGGTTATTATTGAATCTGAACATGTATTTCATTTAATTTCTTTAATGATGATAATTCCGATACATTCAAGTAGACTTC